TTTTAATAAAAAGAAACTATATAAAAAACAGAAATATTGGAGCTGAAGAATACGATAACTGAAATGAAATACATATAAGATGGATTCAACAGTAGATTTGACGTGACAGAAGAAAGAACATATATATGAACATATAGAAAGTATAGGAATAGAGCTTTTGTACATTACTGAAGTTAAATTGGCAACAAGTTAAACTAGGTTGTTGTAAATTTAAGATGTTAAATGTATTTTTCATGGTAATGACAAAGTAACTAAAAAAATACACAGAAGGTAAGAAGAACATGAAAACGGTTCAATACAAAAAACATCAACTAAACACAAATGATGACAATATTAGAGTAAATGAGGGCCAAAGAAGGTATAAGACACTTATAAAACAATTACCAAATTGACAAAAGTTAAGTGTTTCCTTACTGGTAATTACCTTAAATATAAATGGATTATATGCTACAAGCAAAAGGCAGAGAGTGGCAGAATAGATTAAAAAACCATGATCCATCTATATGTTGTCTACAAGAGACACACATTAGTCCCAAAGACACAAAAGAGCTGAAAGTGAAAGGATAGAAAAAATAACCCTGGCAAACAGTAACAAAAAGAGAGCTGGTGTGACTATATTGATATCAGACAAAATAGATTTTAAGTCTAAATCTGTTATAAGAGATAAAGGACATTATATAATGAAAAAAGGTCAATTCATCAAGACAATATAATTATTGTAAATATTTATGCACCTAACATCTGCGTCCCAAAATATATGAAGTAACACTGACAAAACTGAAGAGCGTAATTGACAGCTCTACAATAATAATTGGAAACTTCAGTACACCCCTTTGAATATTGGACAGAACATCTAGAAAGGAAATTAGTGAGGAAATAGAGAACTTTGAACAGCACTATAAGTCAACTGGACCTAACAAACATATGTAGAACACTCCACACAACAACAAAACAATACACACTCTTCTCCAATGCACGTGGATCCTTTTCTTCAGGATAGATCATATTCTAGGTCACAAAACAAGTCTTACTAAATTTAAAAAGATTGAAATCATACAAAGTGTCTTCTCCAACCACAAAGGAATGAAACTAGAAATTAATAACAGAAGAAAAACTGTAAAAAAAAAAAACCCACAAAGATATGGAGATTAAATAATACACTATTAAAGAACCAATGGGTCAAGGAAAAAATCAAGAGAGAAATCTGAAAATACTTAGAGTCAAATGAAAATGAAAGCGCAGCATACCAAAACCTATGGAATGCAGCGAAGGCAGCGTTTGGGGGAAATTTATAGCAATAAATGCCTACAGCAAAGAAGAAGAAAGTTCTCAAATCAATAGCATAATTCTACAACTTAAATAACTAGAATAACAAACTAAGCCTAAAGGCACCAGGAGACAGGAATAACAAAGATTAGAGCAGAAAATAAATGAAATAGAGAATAATCAACCAAACCAGAAGCTGGTTCCTCAAAAAGAACAATAAAACTGACAAACCTGCAGCTAGACTGACAAAGAAAAAAGAAAGATGCAAATAACTACAAAAAGAAATGAAAGTGGAGACATTACAACCAACATGACAGAGATAAAAGGATCATAACAGAACACTATGAACAACTGTTCACCAACAAACTAGTTAACTTAGTGAAATAGCACTTCCTAGAAACACATATTCTACCTAAATTGACTCAAGAATAAATAGACTATCTCAGCAGACCAATAACGTGAAGATTTTGAATCAGTAATCAAAAACCTCCTAACAGCAACAAAAAAAGCCCTGGGCCAGAAGGCTTGACTGGGGAATTCTATCAAACATTTAAAGAAGAATTGACACCAATTCTGCTCAAACTCTTCCAAAAAATAGAGGATCAGAGGACAATACCTAACTAATTCCATGAAGCCAGTGTTATTCTGATACCAAGGCTAGACAAAGATACCATAAGAAAACTACAGACCAATATCCCTTATGAATATAGATGCAGAAATCCTCAACAAAACACTAGTGAATCAAATAGTAAAAGAATTATACACCATGACCAAATGGGATTTATTCCAGGAATGCAAGGGTGGTTCAATATTAGAAAATCAATGTAATACACTACGTTAATAGAACAAAGGAAAAAAATCACATGATCATTTCAATCAATGCAGAAAAGGCATTTGATAAAATCTAACACCCTTTCATAATATAAACACTCAACAAGCTAGCAATAGAAGGAAAATTCCTCAATATGATTAAGGCCATTTATGAAAAAACACACAGCTAACATGATGCTCAATGGAGAGAGATTGAGAGGTTTCCCCTTAAGATCAGCAATAAGACAAAAATGCCCACTATCACTACTGCTAGTCACTCTTGTACTAGAATTCCTAGCCAGAGTAACTGAGCAAGACAAAGAAATAAAAGGTATCAAAATTGGGAAGGAAGAAGTGAAACTATCCATCTTTGCAGATGACATGATCCTATATATAGAAAATCCCAAAGAACCCACAGAAAACAAAAACAAAGACTATTAAAGTTAACAAATGAGTTCCGCAAAGTTCTAGGATACAAAATGAATATGCAAAAATCAGTTGTATTTCTATACACTAGCAATGAATGATGTTAAAAAGAAAATAAAAAATAAAATCCATTTTTAATAGCATCAAAAAGAAGAAAATATCTAGCAGTAAATTTAACCAGGGAGGTGAAAGACTTGTATATTGAAAACTACAAAGACTTGCTGAAAAAAATTAAAGAAGACCTAAATAAATAAAAAGATATCCTGTGTTCATGGATTGGAAGTCTGGTATTTTTCAGATGACAGTATTATCCTAAGTGATCTACAGATTCAATGCAATTCCTATCAAAATCACAATGACTTTTTCTTTCTTTTTTTTTTTGACAGAAATGGACAAATTAAACCTAAAATTCATATGAAATCACAAGGGACACTGAACAGCTAAAATAACCTTGAAAAAGAAAAATAAATTTGGAAAACTCAAACTTCTTAATTCCAAAACTTTCTTTAACGCTATCAAAGGAGTCAAAATAGTGTGGTAGTGGCATAAGGATAGACATATTATTGATTAATGGGATAGAACTGAGAGTCCAGAAGTAAACACATATTTTTATAGTCAACTGATTTTAGAAAAAGGTGCCAAGATCATTGAATGTGAAAAGAATAGTCTCTTCAACATGCGGTGCTAGGGCCACTGAATATCCACGTGCAAAAGAGTGAAGTTGGATCCTTACCTCACACCATATATAAAATTAATTAAAAATGGATTAAAGAACTGGGTGTAAGAACTAAAAGTATAAAACTAAACTGTTAGAAGAAAATATAAGGATTATTCTTCATGAGCTTGATTTGGCAATAGATTTTTAGAAATTACACTAAACGTACAAACAAAAGAAAAAAATAGACAAATTAGACTTCATCAAAATTCAAACCTTATGTGCATCAAAGGACACTATCAAGAAAGTGAAAAGACTACCCACATAATGGGAGAAATTATTTGCAAATCATATATCTGATAAGGATCTAGTTACTAGGTTATATAAAGAACTCTTACAACTCAACAACAAAATGACACATAATCTGATTAAAAATGGGCAAAGAGCTTCAATAGACTTTTCTCCAAAGAATATATACAAATGGCCAATAAACAGATGAAATGATGCTTAACATCACTTGACATTGTGGTTGCTGTTCTGTTCCATCGAATCAATTCTGACTCACAGTGACACCACAGGACAGAGTCAAACTTACCCATAGGGTTTCCTAGACTGTAATATTTATGGGAGCAGATCACCAGGTTTTTTCTCCAGTGGAGCAGCTGGGTGATTTGAACTCCCAACTTTTTGGTTCGCAATCAAGCTCTTAACCATTGCACCACCAGGGCTCCTTCTTTCGTCATTAGGAAAATGCAAATTAAAACCACAATGAGATACAATTTCTCCCCCACTGGGATGGCTACAATAAAAAAAGTCTGATATTAACTAGTATTGGGAAAGATGTGGAGAAATTGCAACCCTCATATGTTGATGGTGGGAGTATTAAATGGTACAACTGCTGTGCAAAACAGTATGGCAGTTCCTCAAAAAGTAAACAGAATTATCATATGATCCGGCAATTCCACTTCTAGATATATACCCAAAAGAATGGAAAGCAGGTATTCAAATAGATACTTTTAAATGAATGTTCACAAGAGTGGAAAGGTGCAAACAACCCAAATGACCATTAATAGATGCCTGGATAAACAAATTGTGGTACATCCATACAAAGGGATATTATTCAGTCACCAAAACAAATGAAATAGATGAAACATATGATACATGCTACAATGTGAAAACCAAAAACCCATTGTCATAGAGTCAATTCCAACTCATAGAGACTCTACAGGACAGAGTAGAACTGCCCATAGGGTGTCCAAGGAGCGGCTATTGGATTCGAATCACTAGCCTTTTGGTTAACAGCAAAACTCTTAACTGCGCCACCAGGGATCCACTACAATGTGAAGGAACCCTGAAAATATTATGCTAAGTGAAAGAAGCCAGACACCAAAGGCTACATATTGTATGATTCCATTATATTAAACACCCAGACAAGGCAAGCCCACAGAGTCAGAAAGCACTAGTAGTTGCCAGGGGCTGGAGGAAAGGGAGAATGGGAGCGGGTGCTTAAAGGGCACGGAGCTTCCTTTTGGGGTGATGACAGTCTGGAACTAGATAGAAGTAATGGGTGCACAGCATCATGAATGTACTAAATGCTACTGAATTTTAAACTTTTCAATGATTAATAATTAATTGTATGTTATTCAAATTTTACCTCAGTAAAAAATAATGTTATTATACCTATTTTATTTATTTAAGCAATTTTTTGCATGGTGGGAGAATTTCATCACAGACCTCTCCAAAAAGATTTTGCAAAGTTTCCACAATATAAATTTAAAAAGAAATAAACAGAGAATTTCATATGAATAAGGTAGCATTTCTAGCAAGACTCAAAAGTACTTACCTTGATGGGACCCCCTTTTCCCTTCTAGTATTGTATACCCAATTGAGCAGTAGTTTTCTCATAACGGAAAGTGATTTTTTACTTTCAGAGTAATTCTTTATTGTCTCAGGACTCATATATCTAAAAAAGAAAGAAATTTTAAACATGATTTATAATGTGTTTAAATGAGTATTGCCAGAAGGCTGGAAGACGATTTTGTCCAGTGATGAATGAGAATAAAACACTTCCCTGGCCACAGGTCCAAGACGTGAAGTTTTAGAGGTATAACCATGAAGTTGTAGGGCTAACTCATTAAACAGAGTATTAAAAAATCAGGCAATTCCCACCTGTCAGTTTGTTGTACTGTGGTGGCTTGCATGTTGCTATGATGCTAGAAGTTGTGTCACTGGTATTTCAAACATTTGCAGGGTTACTCATGGTGGACAGGTTTCAGCAAAGCTTCCAGACTAAAACAGAGTAGGAGGAAAGGCCTGCTAATCTACTTCTTAAAACTAGCCAATGAAAACCCTTATGGATCACAACAGAATATTGTCCTACTGGATTCAAACATACCAAAGTTCATGAACATGGCACAAGAACGGGCAATGTTTGTTCTGTTATACATAAGGTATACATGAGTTGGAGCTGACTGGAAGGCAATTAACAACAACAACAATGTATGTATGTATATATTCGTTCAAATCATTCATTAACGTAGAAGGTGAGTTTGTAAACAAAGTTGATTTTCATCATTTTGCCCTCATGTCAGAAGTAGTCAAGTTGGAAAGTGGAGTCAACTCCTTTAGGGCAGATCTCATGTATTGTTCTGTTTTCCAGAGAAAATGTTGTTAGGTGACCTGGAGTTGGTTCCGACTCCTAGTAACTCTATGTAGAACAGAATGAAACGCTGCCTGGTCCTGTGCCATCCTCACAATCTTTGCTATGCTTGAGCCTATTGTTGTAGCCACTATGTCAATCCTTCTCATCAAGGGTTTTCCCCTTTTGTCGCTGGCCGTCTTCTTTACCAAGCATGATGTCCTTCTCCAGGGACTGATCCCTCTTGATAACATGTTCAAAGCACATGAGACAAGTATTGCCAACCTCACTTCTGAGGAGCATTCTGGCTGTACTTCTTCCAAAACAGATTTGTTCATTCTTCTAGCTGTCCATGGTATATTCAGTATTCTTCACCAACACCATAATTCAAAGGCATCAATTCATCTTCAGTCTTCCTTATCCATCGTCTAGCTTTCCCATGCATATGAGGCGATAGAAAATACCATAACTTGGGTCAGGTGAAACTTAGTCTTCAAAGTGACATGTTTGCTTTTCAGCACTTTAAAGAGGTCTTTTGCAGCAGATTTGCCCAATGCAATAAGTCATTTGATTTCTTGACCGCTGCTTTCACGGGTGTTGATTGTGGATCCAAGTAAAATGAAGTTCGTGACAACTTCAATCTTTTTTCCGCTTATCATGATATTGCTTATTGGTCCAGTTGTGAGGATTTTTGTTTTCTGTGTTGAGGTGTAATCCGTACTGAAGGCTATAGTCTTTGATCTTCATCAGTAACTGCTTCAAGTTCTCTTCACTTTTACCAAGAAAGTTACGTCATCTGCATATCACAGATTGTTAACGAGTCTTCCTCAAATCTTGATGCCCCATTCTTTTCATATAGTCCAGTTTCTTGTATTATTTGCTCAGCATAGACACTAAGTAGGGTGAAAGGATACAACTTTGACACAATCTTTCCTAATTTTAAAGCCTGCAGTATCCCTTTGTTCTGTTCGAATGACTGCCTCTTGGTCTATATACAGGTTCTTCATGAGCACAATTAAGTGTTCTGGAATTCCCATTCTTCACAAGGTTATTTACAATTTGTTATGTTCCACACAGCCAAATGCCTTTGCATGGTCAACAAAACAGAGGTAAACATCTTTCTGGTATTCTCTGCTTTCAGTCAAGATCCATCTGATATCAACAATGATATCCCTTGTTCCCTGTCCTCTTGTGAATCGAGCTTGAATTTCTGGCAGTTCCCTGTTGATGTACTGCTGCAACTGCTTTTCAGTGATGTTCAGCAAAATTTTACTTGAGTGTGATGTTAATGATATTGTTTGCTAATTTCTACATTCTGTTGGCTCACCTTTCTTTGGAATGGGCACAAATACGAATCTCTTCCAGCTGGTTGGCCAGGCAGGTCTCCTCCAAATTTCTTGGCATAGATGAGTGAGCACCTCCAGCACTGTATCCGTTTGTAATTAGTCCTTAATTTTCATAGGTTTTTCTTTCAAGGTGGCTGTCCAGGAAAATAGTGTCTATCCTCTTCACATTTATTTTATCTTTCTATTGTTCATTATCCCTCTTGACCCTGTCTAAATCCTTCACCCTTTTTCTCATTAGACTTGTTTTTCTTGCCTCAGGACACCCCAACACATGGGGCTACTGATAGGAATGATCAGCAAAATCATTGCAGAAAAACCAACTCCAAGGCAGCCTAGGAAAGAAGCAGGTACTGAATACAAGTGTAATTAGCAGAAAGTGCTTAGGGGGTTGCAGCATTATATTACTAATCTTGATATTCCCCATGATGCCTGGCATATTTCTTTGCACACATTGATATTCAATATGTATTCCTTACACAATGACTAAAAATACAATATGTTCCCAAATTTGCTTACATCTTTCACTATGAGTCCTCTCAGCCCAGCAATGTTTACCTCTGTTTGTGTCCATTTACTCTGGGTCCTCATAGCCATATATTGCTTCTGCGTTTGGAGGATTTAAAGAGAAAAAATCATGGCGTGGGCTCAGTTTCTCTATACTGTGTTTTATATTCACCTCTCCAGGGCAATGCAGTGATAGTGCTTTCCATTTAAAGCCTTCCACCATACACTGTGCATGTGTCTTATTGAAAGTTCTTGTCATACTGCTTTAAATTGATCACATTCCCCCCGTCTTTTCCACTCACTCCCCCAACTCCATTCAGGTCCTCTAAGCATCTGAAAGGCCTGGAGCAAGAGGACAAATGCAGGCCCTTTTACCATAGACGGAAATATAAATAGAGAAAACAAAATTTTAAATGAGATATACTTTATCTTCCTACCTTGACAAATATAATGTCATAATGATTTGTATGGCTAGATTTGAAATTAAAACTCTTAGATGCCTTGAAATTCTTCAGTTGATCTGCAGTGAGAACATGTCCACATTTCTGGCCACTTCTCTTCCCACACTAGATTTTTTCCCTCATTGTACCACAAGCAGCCTTCCACACATATGAATGGATACCAGGTTGCCACGGTCACAACCTGGCACATATAACCACCTCTTGGCTTTCCCGCAGGTTTAGGAATGTGCATGTTAAAGACCCTGTTTGCTCGTAGGATGATGGGCCAGGGGAAGAGGCCCAAGCAGACCCTGGACATGAACTTAGTACAAGTTGAGCAGGGAATTCTGGCATCCCTAGCACGAGGACTGTGGTCTAGAACTGGAAGGTAGGTCTGGGCTTTGGGTGGGCATTTCCTCCCTTTGCCCAGTCATATATCCTTCACTTCTCCACAGGGATTGATCCGAGGACACTCCTTATTACACTGATTTTGAGGGACTCACTGCTTACCTGGGAGACTTAGAGCTAAAGAAATCATTATGTGTATGCTGAGTATTAAGAGAAAACTGTACAAAGTGCCACCTGTTCATTAGAAAGATGTGCCTAGAGAGCCTAAGAGAACTTTTGCCCCTAGTGAGCACTGGGATAGTCCAAAAGGAAGAGTAGTTTACAGAGCTTTACTTTCGGGGGCAAATGTGTAAGGAAAAAGCATTCTAGTTGGAAGGAGAACCTTGTTTAAATGCACAGAGTTGTGAATAAGTAGAGCAACTTTGGGAAATGAAAAGTAGATGATTTGACTGTGGGGTACAGAGCAGGCAGTGACTTGGACACACTATACTGAATGATCCCAAGTTACCAGACAAAAGCAAGAAAACTCGCTTGCATCATTTCCTAAATGCAGTGACATAAAATGGAAGCCATCTCTTGACAATATACTTACTCTCCCTTCTTCTCACCAAAGCTTCCTGCTGCACCTACCAACAACTGGACAGCACTCTGGGTCAGAGTCTCATTCTTGTATTGCCTCTGATAGCTCGCCTTAAAAGAAATGTTGAGTCAAATCATGTATGGCATAACAACGACAACTTACTACTCTCTTAATGGTAAAGTAATATGATAAAGAAGTCAAAAACCCCAAATAATCTTGTATCTTTATTTAAAAAAAAAATCTTCCTATGGAGTCCAGTCTATAAGCTCTGCGCCAATCAGGACGTCCCAAAATGGTTCTGCAAGAAATAAGTGTCCGCTAGGTGTTAATTGAGTTTCCAAAAAACAGACGGAGTTACGTGGTTAAAAAAGTCTGGTAGCTGTGAAAGCTGTATCCCTATCTTAAAAATCTATAATGCATATTAGAATGTTAAAACCTCTGAGAAATTCTAAGGTAAAGGATCCTGGTTTTTTGTTTTTGTTTTTTTTTATTTACTTCTTTATTTAATTCCATTTACCCAAATGTTTTGACAACAGAACTCTGCTTTCTCTAGTCTATTATAAGCACTAAAAGGACTTTTACTAATCTGCAGAACTCAGTCATTTCTTCATTCAATAAACATATTTTGAGAGCCCACTTTTCTTCAACTACTATGCTTGAAGCTGGAGACACCACTGTCAAGAAAACTGACCCTGCCCCTGGCCTCATTGTGTTGAACACTGTTGAGAATCACTGTATAGAAGACTGCTTTCCTAAACCCGAGTGTGTGATGTAACCAAAGATTCATGGGTTCCATAGAAGGCATTGTCTCTACACAGTCATTTATGGATTAAAACACTGTTTTGTCCTTTAGGGACATTAGAAAAGGATAACAACTAAATCTGAAGCTGAGGGATCAAAAGTCCATTTGTCCATAATAATAAGAATTTAATAGAGTAAAATTCTTCCCCTTAAATTTTATTAAAATACTAATAACAAGATCAAAATATTTTCAGTATCCTCCGACATAAAAATTGTAGTGAGGGGGAAAATGAGGAAGCTGAAAATAATACAAGACTCATGGAAGTTTAGCAACACAAATGACAAAGCAGTTTGATACTAGAAAAAAGTTTAATTCTTACATGATCATTCCCTCAAAAACAAGAAGAATTTAGAGAATAGTTTATTCCTAAAAAAACTGCAATTTATTGAGCTCTCCTCTATACTACCAGTGAAACTGAGAATGGTACAAAGTGTTACCTGTGCATTCTATATAAATATAATTATATAAATTAATCCTTGCAACAACTTTAAGGTATCCTGATCTGTATTTTATAGATGATAAAGCTGAGGCTCAGAGTTAAGTAGTTTTCCCAAGGTTGCATTACAAACCCAGATCTCTCTGAATTTAAAGCCTGTTTCCCTCATTATGGTATGCTGTGTCTCCTGCACCACTGTTACACTGGGCTTCTCTTCTAATATACAACAGTTGAGAATGTATTGCCTCAGCTAATCAAAAACTGGCTGAAATTCAAATAAAAGATCTCAAATCTTTGAAAACTGTCATAGTTCAATTAATATAACTGTTTGGAGCAGTGAACGTTAGAATTGAGATTGCAGAAACCAAATCAACCCCCGAGATAAAAATATGTCTAGAACGAAAATGGACTAAAAAGATATGAAGTGAGATGGGGCTCTGGAGAACAGAGCAGAGAGATTTAACCTACTTAAGAAAATATAAGTTCCTGGTTGTTGTTGTTGTTAGATGCCATAGAGTTGGTTCTGACTCATAGCTACCCTATGCACAACAGAACGAAACACTGCTCGGTCCTGTGCCATCCTCACAATCATTGTTGTGCTTGAGACCATTTTTGCAGCCACTGTGTCAATCCATCTCATTGAGGGTCTTCCTCTTTTTCGCTGTAGTAGTGTGGGGGCTTGAGTGTTGCTATAATGCTGGAAGCTATGCCACCAGTATTCAAATACCAGCAGGGTCACCCATGGCAGACAGGTTTCAGCTGAGCTTCCAGACTAAGACAGACTAGAAGAAGAACCTGGCGATCTACTTCTGAAAAGAATTAGCCAGTGAAAACCTTATGAATAACAGTAGAACATTGATATAGTGCTGGGAGATGAACCCCTGAGGTTGGAAGGCACTCAAAACATGACTGGGGAAGAGCTGTCTCCCCTAAGTAAAGTTGACCTTAATGATGTGGATGGAGTCAAGCTTTTGGGGCCTTCATTTGCTGATGTGGCTCCACTCAAAATGAGAAGAAACAGCTGCAAATATCCATTAATAATCGGAACATGGAATGTACGAAGTGTGAATCTAGGAAAATTGGAAATCGTCAAAAATGAAATGGAATGCATAAACATCAATATCCTAGGCATCAGTGAGCTGAAATGAACTGGTATTGACCATTTTGAATTGGACAATCATATAGTCTACTATGCCATGAATGACAACTTGAAGAGGAATGATGTTGCATTCATTGTCAAAAAGAACATTTCAAGATCTATCCTGAAGTACAATGCTGTCATTGATAGGGTATCCTACCGTACGCCTACAAGGAAGACCAGTTAATACTAAGTTCCTGATTAAGACCCAATAAATAGCACAAAACCAACACTCAAAGATATAATAGTAGAAAACAAACAACTAAGACAAGAAATCAAAAAGATACATGGTGTGTATACTGCAGAGCAGATAGTCTGGAATGTGAAAGAATCTAAGTCAGCACATGTTTCCTCTTTTACAGATGGGGAAAATATAAACACTAAAAAGAATAAGTCCTAAGTCACACATAAAATTAATAGCAAAAGCAAGACTCGAAATATTCTCCTGCTTTTTTTTTTTTTTACTGTATTTCCCAGAAATAAATTAAAAAATCTGTAAACAAATCAAAGACATGGTCTCATAAAAATTTTAACCTGAAGGAAATAGAAATAATTCTATAAACATCCAAGCAGTAAAGGAGCCTGTATTTAATTTCATAAGTATTAATCATATTCCTCCATTGTTTTCCTATGAATGTGTCACTAATTGGCTAAAACTCTCATATTTTTAGATCTGAAAAGTCTTTAGTCATTTACTAATCAATCACTTTTTCTACAAAATGAGGCTAAAAGCATTTGCCAAACCATTAGAGAAATATCTGGACTGGAAATGTTGTTGGAAATAATCAGTAAAAATTAAAAAATGATATTAACCTGTTGAAGAAATGAAATAAATAAGAAAGCATATCTAGAAAAGACTTGTTGCTTATAAGAATAACTAATAAGCATAATTGTTAGAACAACACAAAGATAAAAGTTAGAATTAAAAGAAGAATACAAAGGAAATTTCAGAACATCAAACTAAATTCATCTTTGTATCCTCAACAACTAGTACAGGGCTTAATAAACTACTTTTTTTCTTTTTATTTTTTTAAAGGAAAGTATAAGAAGATTGAGTGAAGGAGAATGAATAAATGTGTCTACATTCACTATTTTAATTAGAAAACTATAGATGCATAGAAATTACTGATGTTTATAATATTTTACAAGATAAACACAGGGTAGTCACTTTTACAGTTGGTTTACCAGACAGAGAGAAACAAAGATAATGTATCTCAGTGGGAAAAGAAGAAAAGAAGGAGGGAAGGAAGGAAGCAAGTCTAGCAAGCAGGCAAAGGAAAGGAAAGGAGAGAGGAGGAAATGGGAGGGGATGGAAGAGGAAGGGAAGTGTAATAGCAAGAGAGGCATTACATTTGGTAGAACAAGAAACTAACCTGCTTGTGGAACAAAGTGTTATATGGGCATAACCTTCATCTTTCTTGGCACTGCCTCAGTTGTTTAAAGAAATTATTCAAGGTCCCCTAGCAAACGTGCCCTTAAGACTCATCTTGTCTGCCAGGATTACTACTGAGTAGTAGACCTCCCATTTCCCAAGTTAGACTGAGCACGTAGAGTACTGAATTCTGTGTGGTTGGAAGAGATGAGAAATGGATTATAGCTCTATATGCAGTGGGGAAGACCCAATATGAACATTTATAGAGATTGCTGGATGAGTCATGGCTGTTAGCTAAGATCCTGACCTAGATAGAAAATGTTAACTAGACTATTAGCAATTTCCACAGAGTCCTGTATACTACTATGCTAAAGAATTTCTCTAATTTTTACCCAAGCTTTGCTATGAAAATACTACCCTCTACATGCAGTAATTAACGGGCTTGCTGGTATCTTTCTATGAACACTGGCTTGGCCTCAGAGATGGGCACTGTTATGGAACTGACTGTCTGACATCTGGATGAATGCCAAGCCCAGTAATAATTCCTGCCATTGGTATCTGTGAAATTCCCAATTCCTCATAATAAAACACCTTTTACTTAAGCAAATTTCAGTTGATTTCTTCTCTCTCTCTCTCCTTTTTTTTAATAACCAAGCAGATTCCTAAGACTTCCCTTCTTTGTAAACAATCTACCAAGTTATGCCAGTGGGCATAATCAAGATGTTTTCAGCATGGGGTAAAGTTTTCAATATAATTTTAGGCCAAAAAATAATTTTAAGAGTATAATAAAATACTAACTATTTGTGCTGACAAAAGACGTCTGTTGGCCAGCTCCATTGCTTCAATGTTAAGGGTCTCATCTATTTCCTTGTTACAGTCTGGACACTTCACCACTTGATGGCCTGTTGTTTCTTCTTGGCTTGCCTAAGAAAGACACACACACACACACACACACAAATCATATTAACATATTATTAGCATAAAACTCAAGCAATTGGCATATCAATTTGGTTTGAAAAATGATTTAAAAAATCTGGTAGATATACGAAAATATTCAGATGCATTTTCCCATCATTTGCTCAGTTATCCTGAAGGTAAAATATTTGCCAAAATTGGTGGAAGAGATTATATCATATCCTTACTTTTATATGTCATTATTAGGAATTTATAAAAGATACTTACGTGATCACAGTTTAAATAAGTGGTTCTGAATGTGTGCCCCTCCCAGAAGCATCAGCATCATCTGTGAACTGTTAGAAATGCACCTTCTCAGGCCCTGACTTGCTGTTGTTGCTAGTTGCAGTTGGCTCTGATTCATGGTGACCCATGTGTGCATAGTAGAACTACTTCATAGGGTTTTCAAGGCTGTGACCTTCTGGAAGCAGATCGCCAGGCCTGTCTTCAGAGATATCTCTGGTTAGGTTAAAACCACCAACTTTCAGCTGGTAGTCAAGCACTTAACCATTTGCACCAACCACGGACGCTGTAGACCTACTGAATCAGAAACTCTAGGGGGTGGGACCAAGCAATCTGCATTTTAAAAACTCATTAGATGATTCTGATGCTGTTAAAGTTTGAGAACCACTGCTTTAAACTAGTCGTTTAAGCTAGATATGTATAATGAAATGGGAATATGGATAACTCCATTTTATAAATGAGAAAAACGAAAGCACAAAGGAGATGAATTATTTGCTCAGGATCAAAGCTGTTTATTAAGTTGCAAAGCTGGGCTATAAACCCAGGTCTTCTGAGTGCTACACCAGTGCTCTGTCCTCTCATGAAGGGAATGCTATTGCCTGATCATCAACCTTCTGAAACTGAGCAGGCACCAGAGTGGTGGTCCCCAACCCTGACTCAACTGGATTAGAATCAACTGGGTAGCTGGTTAAAAATACATATTCCTGGGACCCTTCCTAGACCACCTGCATCAGAATCTCCTGGCTAGAGGCTGGGAAATCAATATTTTTAACAAACTTTCCAGATGATTCTGATGCAGCTGGATCAGCAAAAAGCTACAGTCAGATATTGGGAGCCACTGGAGAAAATTCTTGGATTTGGCTTGGTACTTGCTCCATCTAGAAATCTTTGCAGTATTCTTGCAGGCTCAGGGGTTAGTTCTGAGTTCCCTACTGGATCTTCAAACACTGTCTAGTGAATATGAGATGAGTTTTGGGGAATCCCATTCCACAGACACTGATTATCTGCACTCCTAGAAGCTGGGCCATCCTATTGCGTAATGGAGAAAAGCATTGCAGATGGCAAGTAGCAGCAGTGAGAAGATTAACTATTTCCCCTTGTGGCAACCATGACTGATTGGTGAGCTGAGTGCTCTTGAATGAATAATAAGTCTGGCCACAGATGTTCTAAAACACAAATCAGAAGCAGGAAGTGACATCTCACCCACAGCTAAACTTATGATACTGGCTTTTAATTATAGTTCATTTAAAAAAAAAAAAAGACTACTAGAGACAGGGCTCAGATGGCGGAGTAGTCATATGCTTCTAGTGGTCTCCCTTATAACAAAGACCCGAAAAAACAAGTGAATTGATTATATATGACAATCTAGGAGACCTGAACATCAAAGGCAAAGCTGAGGAATCAGATTGAGTGGCAAGGGGAGGGAGAGATGGTTCAGAAGCAGAGAGGAGTTGCCAGACCTGCGGGCCAGATTGGCTGGTGTGCGTGCTGAGGCAGGTAGTGGCATTTGGGATGCATTTTCCATGTCTAGAGAGGCCCAGCGGTGGAGAGTCTGTTCAGGCCTCCAGAGCCAGTGAAAAGCGGTGCTCAATCAGCTCGATCAGTGATAAAGAAGTACATGGGTTTAACCTACTTCGCAAATTGAAAAACACCCCATTTGGGAAGAACTTCTCTCCCATTACCTGCTCCCTCCCAGCTCTGCACTGTGTCTCTAGCAGGCTTCAGTGATGGCCATTTCCCCTGGGCCAGAAGTAGGACCTGTCATGCACCCTGAGCCATTCTCCTGACCCTGGAGCGGCAACAAATTAACAAATAGGAAAAAAATAATCTGCCAGCTACCCTAAGCCAGGAACTCAGGGCGGGCACAGCCCCTTTGCCTAGGCACAGGCATAAGGGGTCCATGGACTTTGAATGCCTCTCACCCCTGCACAGACCTATGCAGGTCCATTTCAACAGCGGAGGCCCTCATTAGCACATTACAACAGGGTATATACCTGAAGCCTAACTTCACTGTATCAGCTATATGGTGGAGTGGCAGGTTCATGACATTTGACACCATTCTGCCCATTAAGCAGGGTCCTCCCCTACCTATATCAGAGACCTGAGGACTTGTGACTCCACTCACACCACCTAGCCACCTGCAACAGGGGTCCAAGAATAAGGGGTGTCTCCCAGTCCTTACAGCCAACAGCACTGGGTGCCCATAGTCCAGCTACAAAACTCACCCACCTACGCACTCCAGGAAACAGGGATACGCTTTCCTCCCAGACACTCAGGGGTAGCTGTCAGCTCCCTGCCTTGCTCAGCACGTGACCCCGTACTGCAGCTAGATACCTGTGCCTACTCCAATCATCCCTGCCTGTCTAGGACTGTAGGTGAGAGGCTGCACCACACACTTGGTGACTGACTATCTGGACACCTGAGCTGAATCCATACAAGAAAAGTAAATGGAGTCTTGGGCTCACACACCTAGTAACAGATCTAACTACCTGGTGACGGGATGTTAGAGCTTCAAAAGTGCCAATAATCAGTGTAGCTCACACGAGCAGCCTATTTGGGCATATCAAAACAAAATAAGAAGCTAGGACACCGTAAGCAAACATAAAATAAATAAATATAATTAACTTATAGATGGCTTAGAGACAACAGTCAATATCAAATCACATAAAGAAGCAGACCATGATGGCATCAGCAAGCTCCCAAAACAAAGAGTCAAGAAATTTTCCCGAGGAAGAGAACTTCCTGGAATTACCAGAAGTAGAATACACAAGATTAATATACAGAACTCTTCAAGAGATCAGGAAGGAGATCATGGAAAATGCATAACAAGCCAAGGAACACACAGACAAAGCAACAGAGGAAATTAAGAAGATTATAGAAGCGCACAAGGACAAATTCAACAGGCTGCAAGAATTCATAGAGAGACAGCAATCAGAAATCCACAAGATTAACAATAAAATTTCAAAAGTAGACAACTCAATAGAAAGTCATAGGAGCAGAAATGAGGCAATAGAAGTCAGAATTAGCAAGACTGAAGACAAAGCACTTGACATCAACTTACTGGAGGAAAAATCAGATAAAAGAATTTTTAAAAAATGAAGAAATCCTAAGAATTATGCGGTACTCTATCAAGAGGAATAACCTATGAGTGACTGGAGTACCAGAATGGGGGTGGGGGGAGGACAGAAAATACAGAGAGAATTTTTGAAGATTTGTTGGCAAAAAATTTCCCTGATATTGTGAAAAATGACAAGATATCTATCCAAGATGCTCATCAAACCCCACATAAGGTAGATCCCAAAAGAAAGTCACTGAGTAATATTATAATAAAACTTGCCAAAAACAAAGATAAAGAGAATTTTAAGAGCGGCTAAGGATAAACAAAAAGTTATCTACAAAGGAGAGTCAATGAGACTAAGCTCAGACTACTCAGCAGAAACCATGTGGGCAAGAAGGCAATGGGATGACCTATATAAAGCCTTGGAGGAAAAAAATTGCCAGTCAAGAAATATATATCCAGAAGGTGGGGCCAAGATGGCAGAGTAGTCAGACGCTTCTGGTGGACCCTCTTACAACAAAGACCCCAAAAAACAAGTGAATCAATTATATATGGCAATCTGGGAACCCTGAACTTCAAAGGCAGAGTTGAGGAACCAGAATTAGTGGCGGGGGAGGGAGAGATGGTTCGGAAGCAGTGAGGAGTTGCCAGACCTGACCAGACGAGAGCCTGAGCACCTCAAGCCTGATCAGCTTGGGGGTTAGCGGTGAGGCAGGCAAGCAGCAGTGCTCAGGAGGCGCATTTTCTGCACTGGGAGACACCCCCCAGTGCCAGAGAGTCTACACGGCCACCCAGAACCAGTGAGAAGCGGCCCTGGATCAGTGAAAGATATGGCCTACTGCGTGGATCAAAAACACCCCTCTTAAGGAAAAAACTCTCTCCCATTTACCTCCCTGATCCCTGCTCTTCACTGGGTCCTGGACCAGCTTCAGCAACTGCCGAGTACCCTGGGCCAGAAGTAGGATAAGTTACATGCCTGGAGCCATTCTCCCTGCCTTGGAGAGTGAACAAATTAACAAACGGGGAAAAATAAACTGCCAGCTCCCCTAAGCCAGGAAGCCAGGGTTGGCACAGCTCCTTTGCCTAGGCACAGGAATAAGGGATCCATGGACTCTGAGTGCCTTTCCCCCTGCATAGACTTGTGTGGGCCCATTTCAACAGTGTAGGCCCTCGTTATCACAGTACAACGGGGTATGTACCTGAAGTCTAACTTCAACTGTTTCAGCTGTGAAGGGGCATGTTCTTGACATTTGATGCTGCTCTGCCCATTAAGCAGGGTCTTCACCTACCCACATTAGGTGCCTGAGGACTGGTGGCTCCACCCACACCACCTAGCCACCTGCGATAGGGGCCTATGAATAAGAGGTGTCCCCCAGACCTTACAGCCAGCAACTTTAGGTGCTCATAGTCCAGCTGCAAAACCCACTCACCTAAGCACTCTAGGGAACAGGGACATGCCTTCCTCCTGGACACTTGTGGCTGCTGTTAGCCCCCTCCCTTGCTCAGAGTGTGTCCCCCTGCTGTAGCCAGATGCTTGTGCCTACACCAATCGCCCATGCCTATCTAGGACTGTTAGTAAGAGCCTACACCACACAGTTGGTGGCTATCTACCTGGGCACCTAGCTGAATCCATACAGGAGGAGTGGGTAGACTCCTGAGCTTACTTACC